TCGTTTATAACCATATTCCATGCTTTCACACACTTGCAAACTTTTGTGAATTTAATAATAGTTCAAAGTTTTTAAAAAGTATTTTTTTAATGGACATGTTACTAGGTTAGACTTAACAACTTTGTCAGCATTAATAATTTTTTATTAAAAAAATCAATTTCAGATTGATTTAAAAATCAATATGAAATTGATTTTTTAAAAAATCAGTATTTTATTTAGATATTTTTATAATATTTTTATACTGTATATTTATATATATTATATATTATTATATATATATATTATATATTAGGAAATGTAAAATATTTTAGATAAAGAAATGTAAAATTTTGAAAATTTTTAAATTAGTTTTAATTAGTTTTTGGTTTTTTAAACTAGTTTTAACTTGAAATCTGGTTTTTTGTTAAAGAAAAATTTCAACAAAGTAACTTTAAATAGTTCAGTTTACTCAAAAAAAAAAAATTTTTCTTAACTTATTAAGTTATTAACTAATTTATTCAAAAATATATTAAATACATTTTTGATATTTTAAAAATATTCAACATTCACTACCAAATTAATAACTGTGAACATACTGTTTACAAATCTTTATGACCATAACTGAATTTACTATCTTTTAATAGTTACATAAAAAATTTGGAAACTCACCAACTTCAAAATTAAAGACTTAGAGGTACTAGATATTCACCAACTTTAAAATTGCAGACTTAGCAAGCTAAAAACATTTTTTTAAATTTATTTACAAATTTATCTGGCTCCAAGATAAATAGTTTTTATAAACTTTGTTGAAATTTTTTTTTTTCTATTTCCACCTATGACTAAATACTATTTATACTTTTACAATATATAATATTTTATTACACCAATTTATTCTAGTACATCTATGGCCCACTGTTAGTGGCATTCTACATTTTTTCTCTAGTGATGATTTTTTCTAAAACTCATTTAATTTCTTGTTTAACTCCTAATATTAAACCAAATTATTGCTCTAGATATTCTTGTTCCTTTGCACTTTTATTGCATGACATACACAACCATTTTATGAAACACAGAAAGTAACTTTACTTGTATACTTATCTTTATATAATCAGTTACACATATACAGCTATGCATAAAAAGTTAATCTAATTTTTCAATAATCAAATTTGATGGAAATAGGTTTTAAGTTTGTTTTTTTTTGTTTTTTTTAATTACTTTTGTATTGATAAAATAGTCATAAATAAATACTCACACATACTACTCTACTTCCATAAAACTAATTGAATGTTTTTTACGAATGACATAAAAGTTTAATTGAATTTGTTATAAATTTAACTATAAACTTTTATACTCTTGATAACTATTTATTCTGCCTAATTAGCGATTTAAATGATAAAATTAGTGAGTATATGTGATTCTAAAATAAAAAAATATTTTAGTTGCTAAAAATTGTCAAAAAAATAACTGCAGTATTTCAAATCTCAATTTGCTTGCAAATTGAAAAACATGGTCAGAGAGCATCAATGGCAAATTATTGGACTGGTCATTGAAATTGGTAAACTTATTTGGGTTTTCTAAATTTTGCATGCAAAAAAAAAAGAAAACCTGGGAGCTGACAGGTTTTGTCATTGACATGCCTCATTCTGGAAGACAAAAAATATTCAGAACCATTAAAGAAAATCGTAGCCTCAGCCGCTAAAAGCTAACTCAAGTATTTAATCAATCTTTTTCTAATTGAAATGTAACTCGTTAGAAGAAAGTTAGCAAAAAAAGGTATTGGCTCTTACATTGCAATAAGAAAGTCTATCCTGTCAATCATGGATTGATGCAAACAACTAAAATGATGCAGAGAAAATTTGGATTGGGCAGAAGATTGGGCAAAAGTGAGTTAACAATGTATCAAACTTTCAAGTCGTAAACAGCAAAGGAAGAATCTACATTAAAAGATTTGCAAATGAGAAATATTGCAAACACTATTTACAAGCAAGGTGACATGGGTGTTTTAACATTTAAAGTTAATTTAAATGTTAATCAAAAAATTCAATTAACATTTAAAGTAACTTGTGAGTGATGAGTATTGAATACTTGTGCCACATTAGATGCATAAAATTGATAGAATCGTTGCAGATACAACTTTTTATTTGCTATGGAGCCAAAGGTGGACACTTTAAATATTAAATTTTTTTTTTTTTTTCACTTTTTATTTTCTAAACTCTAATTTCTAAACTTTTTATTAATTACTTTTTTTAACTATTTTATTAATGTTAATTGTATAGCAAACTTTTCTGTTTTTTTTTTTTTTATGAAAAAAAAAAACAGAAAAGTTTGCTAAAACTCGAATATATATATATATATATATATATATATATATATATATATATATATATATATATATATATATATATATATATATATATACACATACATACATACATACATACATACATACATACATACATACATACATACATACATACATATATATGATATATTTTTCAAAAATTAAATAAAACCAATGACTTTTCAGTTACTTTCAAACCAAAGTTCATCTGTTTTTATATTGGAAACTGGAGATTCCAAAAATTTACCAATAAGTCACATTCCTAATATATATATATATATATATATATATATATATATATATATATATATATATATATATATATATATATATATATATATATATATATATATATATATATATATATATATATATATAAATTTATGTATATATGTATATATATGTATATATATATATATATGTATATGTGTATATATATATATATATATATATATATATATATATATATATATATATATATATATATATATATATTAGAAGAAAACAAGAACAAGAAAATAATCAAAAAAGACTTTAGAAGCTGTAAATTGTATGAGTAAAGAATACATAAAGATGGATAGAATTCAAAAGCAATAATGTATTGTACATTATTGCTTTTGAATTCTATCATTGGATGCCACTTTGCTTAATGACGAGTCACTTGAGATTGAGTTTGGGTTGACGGAACAAGAAATAATTACTCATTTGAGCAGTGACCATTGCAGTATTTGTGTAAAAGAGAAAGAGAAACATTACAATTATGTAAATAATTAGATTTTGCTTAGATTAAAATTTGACAGCCATTTCAATCCCAAAACACCAAAAGAGAGGTCACACTTAAGATCAACTGCCTGTTCCCATCAAAAATTGATGACATATTGTTAAGACTGAAGTATATTGTTGTGTCAACAGCAAATAAAATCATCAAAATCTAAAATTGTCAGGTAGATCATTAATATAGATGATAAACAACCTTTGATGAAACTTTCTTATACCTCAGAAGTTACTTGAAATTTTGTCTTTCAGTGTTGACTTTTAATGACTTTAATACTGTTAGAATGATTTAATAATTTTAAAAACTTTTCCATATACACCATATGAAGCAAGTTTATGGAGAAACAAAATTTTATTGTCTCTTAACATGTTTATATTTCCACATAATAAACCTTTGTTTCCAGGCCTTTCCACTTCCATCTAATGCACAAGAACTTTTCTGTTATAAATGAATTGCTTAAATTTTATATACAAAAAACAACAATTTTTAACTAATTAAATTTATTTTTCTATTATAAAAATAAATTTTCAGTTAACAAATCGGCTGTAGAACAAGATGATCAAAATCCTTATTGATTGTCAGTTGATTGTATGTTGTTTTAAGATATCAGATATTTTTTAATTAAAAACTCAAATACTTTATTAATAATAGAGAAAAGACTAACTGGATAATAGTTAGAGGGGTCAGATTGTGTCCTCCAGAGTTTTATGAAAAATGTAACCAGGTGTGCTATTTTTAAGGGAAAACAAGATTCAATTTAGCACTCATTAAATAGTTCAATAGAGAGTATTGTAGAGAGCTCTGGAGAACACTTTTATAAGACAATGACGAAAATTTTGTCTTGACCACAAGCTGTAGAAGTGTTCAAGAAATAAATATAGCTATGGAAACTTAAAAGAGAAAAAAACTTTAGTAAAAGAAGAGTTTAAGAAAGAAGTAGTAACAATCAGAATCTAAAATATCTTCGAAATTGAGGACCTTTTTTTTGAAACTTCCTGTAAAAAAGATCACTAGATGCTTCTAGGTAATCAATACTATTATCAGTTTAATTGTTATTTCTGACAAGTTTAAGTACATTTAATTTAAAAAATTTGCTCCCAAGTTCCTTGTATGATAGGCTATTTGCAGTTGTGGTTTTAAAAGCTCTCCTTTCATAACAAATCAATTTTTGAAATCAGATCTATATGTGGCTGAATGCTTTAAAAAACGACTTTTTCCTCTAATTAAAAAGCACAAACAGCCAACCTTGATCTGGCATTGATCAAGGTTGAGCATTGATTTAAAAAGCACAAACAGCCAGATCAGGCATTGATTCACTATTTCAAAACAGTAATGCAGTGGTATCAGAAAAATAGAGTCAATTTTGTTCCAAAGAATGCTAATCCACCAAATTGTCCTGAGCAGCCAGTTATCGAATCTTACTGGGCAATTGTGAAGGGAATATTGAGGAAAAGAGACAAATGTGCAAATAGTGTTTAAAATTTCCAAGCTTTATAGATTAATGCTACAAAAAAAGTGACATAAAGTAAAATTATGGAGTTGGTTGCAGGTACTTTAAATTAAATTACTTGCACATTGTAAAGTTAAGGCTAAATTTGTTTTTGTTGAAAAAAAAACTAATTATGTAAGTATAAAAAAAATCATTACAACTGATTAAGTGGTTTTTGAGTAAACTCAATTTAAAATCGTCCAAATTTCAACCAATCATGGTGATATGTATATATAAATATATTTTATATACATTATATATGTATATAATGTATATATATATATATAAGTATATATTTGTGTGTGTGTTTATATATACATATATATATATATATATATATATATATATATATATATATATATATATATATATATATATATATATATATATATATATATATATATTTATATATTTAGATGATGAGGCTAGATTTGAGAGGAGAAAATCAAAAAGTATGGCAATCAGTCGTGCAAGATGTTTACCTATGAACTTCAAAGAAAGTGATTTAGTTGGGGTTTTAAAAGATAGAGGCAGGTCAAGAGAAGGCAGTAAATTAGGTTCAAGCCTTGCTGATGTCGATCCAATGAACATTGATACAAAAGTGAAATTATTAAATTTTTATTATAGTTAATTTTGTGTTTGAATTATACTTATATTTTATTTGTAATTTTATAATCCTTCAACATAAATGTTTATGATACAAATTTTTAATTTAGACTTCATTTGATGACATTGGTGGGCTCGACAGGCATATTCGATCATTAAAAGAAATGATTGTATTTCCTTTGCTTTATCCTGAAGTATTTGCTAAATTCGGTATTAATCCGCCTAGGGGTGTATTGTTTTATGGCCCTCCAGGTTAGGATTTTATTTTTTTTTTTTTAGATTTTACTTTGTGTTTTGTAACGAATTAATAAAAAGTATTTTTTAATCCAAGGATATATTAACAATTTAGGTTTTTTTTTTCATAATGTGAGCTTAAGAGTCATTTAACAGAAATCTTTCATAATTTCAAAAATATCAAAATCAACATTTATGTTGATAACTTTCAAAAATTAAACCCTTTTAGCCAAAATATGTTGACAGTAATTTTTGGATATGTAATGTGAGTTTTTGCGCAAATATTTTTTGATTAAAGACCCTCATACCGTTGTTTAAAGTCTTTATTTGAAAGTTGTTTATTTGAAACTAATCATAAATATAGTTTTAAAAAGTTCAAATAAAATCAAAATTAATTCTGATTATGTAATAAAAAATAAAATTTTAAAAATGTTTGATAAAATTTTTCAAAAAAAAAAAAATTTAAATCCCCCCTTTTCGGTTAGTGTTCCTATGGTAGTTGCCTGCATTTGCCTTGTGGCAAATGCGCTTTTGTGTGTGTGTGTGTGTGTGTGTGTGTGTGTGTGTGTGTGTGTGTCTATATATATATATATATATATATATATATATATATATATATATATATATATATATATATATATATATATATAATACATTTCCAGTTTTTGTGTGGATTTTGAAAAATCATGTATAAAGTATGTATAATTAAATATAATATTTCTAGGGACTGGAAAAACATTAGTTGCTCGTGCTTTAGCTAATGAGTGCAGTCGTGATGGTCAAAAAGTTGCTTTTTTTATGCGTAAGGGAGCAGATTGCCTAAGCAAGTGGGTTGGAGAGTCTGAACGTCAACTAAGACTACTGTTTGATCAGGTAATTTTTTACTAAAGTATATAAGCATATACCAAAGACAAATTTTTCCTATATGTAACATGGATTTTAATTAATGTAACTTGTGCTTTAATTAATGTAACATGTGATTTTATTTATGCAGCATGTGTTTTGATTTATGTAACATGTGTTTCATTTTTTAATAATTTCAAGTAGTAGCATAGTATCCTCATGCATTTTAAATTTACATATCCATTTTAAATGTTTATATCCATCATAATTATTTGTTGTATTTATTTCTTATATAAGTTTACAACCAAACTATACACATAAAACATGAGACCAGTAATATATGGTTTTTTAACAGGAATTATTTATGAGACCATCAGTAATATATGACTTTAATAGGCATATTCTATGAGGCCATCAATAATATTTTTTGATGAAATTGATGGAATTGCACCTGTGCGTTCAACTCGGCAGGATCAAATTCACAGTTCTATTGTATCTACACTTCTTGCTCTTATGGATGGTCTTGATGCACGTGGAGAAATAGTTATTATTGGTGCTACAAATCGCTTGGATTCTATTGACCCTGCATTAAGAAGACCAGGTCGATTTGACAGAGAGTTTCTGTTTGCGCTTCCAGATAAATGTGTAAGTTTTAATTACTTTAACTTGTTGTGTTTATTTGATGCTTAAGTTATGACAAGGAGGTATTAAATTATTTTTTTGTCTTAATTAACCTTTGTTGAGTTTTTTTTTTTATACATATCACTTTTTTTTTCCCTTGTTATCTTCTTCAAAAATTTATTTTTATTTCATGAAAGTTTTTTTCAGTTCTCCCTTTTTTTCACTTTTCTCTCTTCTATGAAAAATAATTTAAAAACTTATCGCTACCTCATGTTATTCACATTTCGAAAGTTGTGAAGATCGCTAAGGCCAGTACTATCAGGTATGTGGTTGGAACTTCCTTGTGAAGCTAGCCCTCTACCACTACACCACTATCGCTTGTTGCAGCATAAGAGTGACTGTACAATGATATACTAAAAATATTTGGTTTGGAAGGGGTTTAACAGCAATATAAACCCTAAAAAAAATTTCCTGACTTTTACAAGTTATATCAATTTTAAAATTTACAAGTTTTCTTTGAGTTTTCTGAAAAAAGTCATTATTTTACAGAATTTTTGGTAAAATTTTCCTTCGGTTATATAAATTATTATTTTTAAATTCAGATCAATATAAATAATAAAAAATACATAAAAGCTGGGCAATTAAAACGCAAAAATAATAATTGCAAGTTTAACAATAAAACTCATTTATACCAGACTTTCATGCTTCTTCACCAGACTTCCAAGCTTCTTTACCGGACTTCCAAGCTTCTTTACCAGACACTCAAAGTTCCTTTTTTCCAAGAGATAAATACTTGCTTTAGCAATGATTGTGGTAGTATTTGTAAAAGAAAGAAAAAGAACTTAACAACAATTGAACAGAAGCTCAAGCTTGGCAGCAGAAGCCCAGAGCAGAACTTAAATTAAAAGTCTTTAAGTACCTTGTTTTGAAGAGAAAAGGAACCATTAGAAGAAGCAGCCTAAATATGACAATAGTCTTTTATACAAGAATAAGTAAGAGATTTAATAGGTAGGAACAAATAAGAGATTTCAGAGGTGGATTAAAAAAATGGCAAGCACTATGAATGAAGGCAACCTTGGCATATACTAACTTTGTAATGGACTGTATATATGGTTTCCATGACAGGTCAGTATTAAAATGAAATTTAATATTTTATTTGTTTTATTTAATGTAAAATTGAGAACTTTGTAAGAGTATTGCTATTTATAAGTATATCAATATCAATACAATATTGATATCATTATCTATTGATATCAATATTGTATGAGTCAAATAAAATGTTGACATTGTAAAAGATTACATAGAAGGAAAAATTAAATTTTGCAATGATTTTCAAAAAATAGTTGTTACACTCAAGATAATATTTTAGTTTGGGTGACAATTAGAGAGGTCAGTAATCTTTTGAATTTTAAAATATTAGAACCATAGATGCTATTTTTCAGTAGACAGGAAAACGAGACTCAAGTAAGCACCTGTCAAATAGTTTTGATAGTATTAAAGTTAGTTTTAAAGAAAAATTTTTACAGTGATAGGAATGTTATCCAAGCCACAAGCTATTGAAGAATTTGTTAAAAATAACTTTATTAATAAAGGCTGGAATGATTTTGTCTAACAATAAGTTAAATTGTTTAATGTGATGACAAGAAGTGTGCAGTCTTTATATTTTAGAGATGAATTGAAGAGGATTTATTTCAAGATCAGATTCATATATGAGAGATAAACTTTCAAAGTCTCTAGAACTTTATTTCTGAGATAATAAGCAAGATTTAATAGTCTGAAAACAATGAACTTTAGCATCAGACAATACTTGTTTGTATAGATTTCTTGCAGTGATAAAAACTTCTTGCAATGATAAGTGAGTTGTTCATGTAGAAAATGAAAAGTAAAAGAAAGATTAAGACTGTTAATTTACTTAAAACAAAAAAAAATTAAATGCCTGAAATCGAGGAAATAACATTTGTAGGAATAGCATTTATTTGTGGAGAGGCAAAAAGCATCAACCCAAAGATTATCACCAAAAAAAAAAGAAGAATTTCTATTAGCCTCAAAATAATATTGAGAAGTGTTACGTAAATAGACGAAGTTAACTATCTATTTAAGAGATTGAGAAAGAAGTTTTAAACTTAAGTGCCAGCAGTTTCAGTGTTACTTGAGCCAAGCAATTCAAAAAAAAAAGAAATCTACAGGATTTGCATCTATTCTATTAACTCAAAACATAAGGTGACAGAAAGTTTATCTTGACATAATAAATAACTTCTAACTACCAATGCAACCTTAACGATCCATGCAATTTACATTTACATTTTTTACAATTACATTAGCATTTTTTTACAATTTACATTTTTTCGATCTGTAAGATAAGATGGAAACCACTTACAACACCACGAATACCATAGTGTTCTAATTTAGAAATCAAAATGTTATGATCAACTGGTTTTGATTTGGTTACTGATGGTTTTGATTTTTGGGGCCCAGAGATAGAGAGGAGCCCAAACATAGCATGGGCCTGGGAAGGAAAAGCATTATACTTTCCGATTAAATTGTAATTTGATCCGATATATATATACATTAGCAAATTACAATTACATTTACAAGTTTCCAAACACTAACTCTGATGATGTAAATAGAAACAAACTATCACCTAAAGGATGAGATGGTTTATACTTTACCCATTATTCTTCCTTAACCTTTATTATCAAATTTGTTGTTTTAATAAAGTTTATTATTTTAATTTTAATTTATTAGTTTAATATCTTAACGAATATCCTAATAAATTAAGCTTTTTTTTAATAAATGTAATGTATTTTTAAATTAAGTTTGTAATTTATTTGTTATTGTTCTTAATTTTATTATTTTGAATGATTTTTATTTGCTGTATCTTTTAAGGCTCGAGAAAAAATCCTTACAATTCACACTGCTGATTGGCACCCAAAACTTTCTCCTGCATTTATTAAGGAATTAGCAGAAAAATGTGTAGGGTATTGTGGTGCAGATATTAAAGGACTTTGCACAGAGGCTGCTTTGTTAGCTCTTCGTAGACGATATCCCCAAATCTACAAGACAAATAAAAAACTTCTCCTTAACACTAAGGAGATCAAGATATTATCAACTGACTTTAAAAATGCAATAAAGCGTATAACCCCCACATCTGCACGATCATCACTTGTAATATCAAGAGCGCTTCCTTCAGAAGTAAAGCCTTTACTGGGCAATTGTGTTACCAAAATATTGGAACTTTTAAATACTATTTTTCCTGATGGAATGCATAATAATGGTTAATATCTGTTTTATGATAATGATGACAATTGTTATTAGTTTTTTAAATGTTTATCTTTATTTTTATTATTATTATTATTTATGTTATTTTTATTATTATTATTTTTATTATTATTATCGCAGCTGTTATTGTAGTTGTATGATTATATTATGTATGTTATTCATAGCAGCAGATTCTGATGAAAGTGGTTGTAGTGAAAGTGAAGATATATTTGAGCATTCTATATACAATCATTGCACATCAGATTTTTCGGCATCCTCTAATAATTATACATTTTTTAACAAAAAAGCTTCATACAAGTAAGTAATGTTCATTTAAAATAGAATATGATTACCAAAATAAATTTTTTAAGTAAATTATTTAATTTATTTTGAAATTAAAATTAAAAAATGGTTTTCGTTAAACTGCAGATTACTTGATTAAAAAACAAAAAACATTTTTTTAAATGAGCAGTATTTGAGCAATATGAACACATTTTTTTTAAAAGTAACTTGAAAAAAAAATTAAAATAATTGAATTATGTCAAGGCTATGTAGTATCTAACATGATTGAATCAGCACACCTAATGTTTAAAGGAGTGTTGCTTAATTGATAAAAGTGGCATTCTACTGCTTATTATCAATTAAATTATTTTAGTAAATGTAAAACCATTTGTGATAAGTGTCATATATCACTTTCTATATATATATTTTTTTAGTAGATTAAAAAAAAATGTATTAGGCAAAATTAGACTGATAAGATTTTTCTATATAAAAAGCCAATTTTTTACACTTTTAAAAAAGTATATAAAAAACTTGAAAACTATTTTTCTTATCCTTCTCTAGATCACGGTTTTTAGTATATGGCCATTCTGGTAATGGACAGTCGTCTTATATATGCCCTGCTTTACTTCATTCAATGGAGCATTTGTCATCATATAGTATTGACCTTGCTTCAATTACTGGCAATTCTTCTCGAACTCCTGAAGAAGCTATTTCTCAAGTTAGTTTTTCTAAATAATTAATAATGTTTAAAAATGTAAGCTTTTTATGTTTTTGTTGTTGTTGTCTTTTAATTTTTAATTTTTTTTTTTCCTTTTAAACAGATTTTTCTTGAAGCTAGAAAATCTGTACCAAGTGTTATCTATTTACCTCATATAGATGTTTGGTTTAGTGCAATTTCTGATATAGCTTGTGCTACATTTTTGACTTTGTTAAATGATACTCCTAGCGATCTTCCTATACTTTTATTGTCAACCACTGAATTAATTTGGTGTAATCTACCTAAAAAGATTCAAAGTATTTTTTCAAAGGAAACACAAGTAAAATTATTTCTTTTTATATTCATAAGTTTTCAATTATGTTTGATAATATTGAACACTTTTGCACAACTCAATCATTAGTCGTAAAACAGAAATTATATTTTAGTTTTTTGGTTTGAATATGTTTTTTATTGTTCATATCCTTTTTTAGACATTTCATGTTCCATTTCCATCGGATACTGAAAGATACGATTATTTCAAAGATACGTTTTTAATTCATGCTTTAAAGAAATACGAAAAAAGTTTTAATAAAATAGGTATCTTTTATTTTTTATTTTTATATTTTAAACACTGATATAATTGTTGGTTTTTTTAATTGTCAATCTTTTTTTTTTTTTTTTTTTTGGTGTTGTTTAGTTTTAAATGAAGTTTTGTTAGAAGCCCCACCGCCCTCTAAACCTAGAGAACTTTCTGCAAAAGAAGCAATACTTTTGCAAGAAAATGAAGAAGCTACACTTCGAAAATTAAGAATTTTCTTAAGACAAGTCACATGGAAACTTTTGGCTGATAGAAAGTTTAAAGAATTTTCAAAACCAGTTGACTTAGAAGAGGTTTTTTTTATTATCTTCATTTTAATTAAAAGTAAAATATATGTATATATTGTTATTACAAATAAATAAAAAAAATATATATATATATACAGGCCTTGTTTTGAATAAAAAAGTGCTTAATGCATTAGCTTAACGCGATTTTGACGTCATAAAATTATCTTTATTTTTTTTTTATAGACGTTAAGTGTTTTAACTACCGCAATAAATAAATAACCGCAAACTAGTTCAATTTAACAATTAATTCAAATAACTATAAACGTTTTAAATGTAAATTTATTATGAAAATTTTGTAATGTTTTCAATTGTTATTTTATTATTAATTTTAGTTCAATATTATTTAGTAAAATATATATATATATATATATATATATATATATATAAATTATTTCTGAAATTTGTTTTTGAATAATTGTTTTTAATCGTTATTGAATAAAAAATAATAATGATTTTTTTTATTTTTAAAAATTTCTAGAGTAAACAAAAAATATTAATATTGATAAACCCATGTTAATTATTTTAACAACGATTTTGTTTTGACTAGCAAAGAAAAATTTAGGTTTTTAAATAATTTTTAAATTTATCTTGCTTAGCGTTTCAACTTGCGTTTTATAAAAATATAAAAAAGTTTTGTCTGCTTTGAGCATATTTTTTATAAATACTTTGGAATGCGTTCGCCAGGAATTTAATTCATAAATTTTTTATGTTATTGTAAAAATATTTTACTTTTTAAACAAATCACAAAGAAACAGAGCTATAGAGAAAAATCGCTTTTAACGATTAAATCTTTTTTTTTTAAATTTTAGGAAATTAAAAAAAAAAAATTAAATTAAATATAAAAGTCTTTATTATGCTAACTCTTTTGTTAATTATTCTTAAAACAAAAAAACAATTACTTCTACGCAAAACTTTAATCGTGCTAACTTAAAAAAATACTCAACTGAAATAATTTAAGTATGTTTAATAATTTGAATAGTATCTGTTTATAATTAAACGTTCGTAAAAATTTGTTTATTAAAAATTAAGTTCCTTAACTTATAAACAAACTCAAAAGTATTTTCATTCTACGTATAATTACAAAACTCTTTTTTTTTCGTTTGTAAGCAATTTAACTAAATAAAATAAAAAAAGAATAAATATGAGGTAATCTTTGTTAAGAACAAATTTAATTTATTTATTGAACTATATTTTTATTTTTAATTATATATCAACTTAATTTATTATTTTTAATTATTTTTTATTATATTTTTTATTATTAATTTTTATTTTAATATTAATTTTTATTTTTAATTTTTTTTTAATTATATATCAACTAATATTCATATATATATATATATATCATATTAATTTATTATATATATATATCATATTAATAATATATATATCATATTAATTTTTATTTTTAATTATATATCAACTAATGCGGTAGTGGTGTAGTGATAGAGCGCTTGCTTCATAAACGAGTGGTTCCGAGTTCGATCCCCACCACGTCCCTGGTAGTACCGCGCTCAACTCGTTTCTCCGCGCAGCGGCCTTGCTTGTCAAGGTTCGTGTTTCGGAATTATAGAGTTGAGAGAGGGTTATAACCACAAATAAGTAGCCTCCTCGTCTGTAGTGGCCTTCTCGGCCTTGAGGAGGTGAATTAAAATAAAAAAAAAAAAAAAAATTAAAATATAGTAAAATTAAAACATTAAAACATGTTAAAATATTTTAACATGACTTGTGTTATTTATAAACCGTTGGGCAGTTGCCCTTACGTCACCATTGTTTTTGGATAATATTTTATTTTGATGAAGATCACATAACTTACATTTGATTTTAATAACGTAAGTCTTCTCTTTTTCTGTGATCATTGCATCGGCAAAGTCCCAAGATTTAAAAGTTTTTAAAGTAAATCTTTTGTCCTTCAAAATACAATCCATATTCGAACTTTAAACAATTTAGATAATAGAGATAATAGAAATATACAAGGTTTTTATATACTAGTTTGTTTTGTTTTATAAAGAAAAATACATATTCTTTAGTAAAAAATGGAGACTGTCATTAAACTAAAAGGTGCCTTAGTATTTATTTAACGGAACCTGTAATGTGCACGTGCATAATAAAACCTCCGGTATATAAATATATTCAACGTAATATTAGTGTCATCAGCGGATGTTGTAGTCTACTCATGATTTCTTCACCTTATAACATAACTTGATTTATGAAAAAAAATAAACTTATTGAATCGCACGCAGAAGAAATTTAATAAATTGTCTTCATTCAAATATTGCGAGTAACAGGTAATTTTTTTTTCTGTGCCGACCCCCTCCCCCCGCATAACTTAAAGGTAAAGGTATCTTAAGGTATCTAAAGGTATCTAAAGTATATACCTTTAACTAATAAGAAAAGCAAAGACATTTTTTTTAATATCTCGAAAAAATGTCTTGATATATTTGTTATCATGATAACAAAAATATTATGACATTTTTTGAGATATTCAAAAAAATGACAATTCTTAATTACAAATTTTTTTCCAAATGTTTTTTATTATAAATTCAGTAAAAAATTCTTAAAAAATCTATATTACAAAAAACATTTATATTCTGTATTAATAAATATGGAATATAGATTTTTTTAAAGTTTTTTACTGAAAACTTTAAAAAATTACTATTTTTTATTAAAAACATTGCATAAAATTTGTAGTTAAGGATTGACAATGTTGCTAAATATTTGTATAAAAAGTTTAGCGTCAAATTAATTGCTATAAAAAGGAAAGATATATCGCGATGAAAAGTTACAACAATTATTTTTAAAGTAAATTCTTTTTTTTAATAATTATCTTTACATATCATTATTTAAAAGTTAATGTGGTTTTTTTAAAAATTAATTACTTCTTTTATGTTACCGCTAATTTGAAAGTTAAAAAATGATAAAAAGTAGCTTAACCAAAACAGCTCTACGCATACGTAAAAATCGCTTAAGGCGTATGTATATATATATATATATATATATATATATATATATATATATATATATATATATATATATATATATATATATGTTATATATTGACATGTAATCAAAATAATTGACATTATAGTAATTTTTGGCTTTTAACCTTGTAAGCATCTTTAAGTTTTTTTACCATAAAAGTTCTGGCAATGCACAGTGGTGCAGAACTTCAAAAAAATGGCCATAATTCAAAATTTTTCGAAACTTTATAAAAATGATTTTTTTTTTTAATGAATTATGTTGCTTATATTATCTAAAAATATATAGTTTTGTTATTTTGGTTCATTAACAGAACCGCTAAATGGATTATAAAGACGTCATTTTTGTAAACACTAACAATATAATGTTGCTAGGTTAAAAAAAATTTACTTTTTTATTTTAAATTCATACACACGTTTATTTTTTAATCGTGAAAATTTTTCAAAAAAAGACATTTTTTTAATGTGTTTTATATATAGCGCAAGGGGGACAGTAACATTTTTAAAATAATTTTTCTTTACTGCTAATGGTATATGACAGTCTTCAAAAAATTCAGTTAAATTTAATAAATTTTATAGATTTTATAACAACTTTAAATGACGAGTACTTTTAATGCAATTATCGATTTTTAAAAACAATTTTTCGGAATCCTTTTATTTATTTCCTTAGAAACTAATTTTCTTTTTTAATCAGGTATAAGAAAAGATATATGGTAAAAAAAACAAAAAAATATTTTTAAATTTAGATAAAATTAAAATTTATAAAATTATTTGTTTATTTAAAAATATTTATTATTAATAATAATAGTAATAAGGCAAATTAACGTCACTATTTTTAAAGTCTTGAAACAATTTGCTAAAAACAGCGCTTTTATCTTCGGTCTCTTCTTCTTTGTATGTCTTTTTTTACCATAAAAGTTCTGGCAATGCACAGTGGTGCAGAACTTCAAAAAAATGGCCATAATTCAAAATTTTTCAAAACTTTATAAAAATTATTTTTTTTTTTAATGGTTATCATGGTAAGCACCAGATTGTACTTAATTCTAAGCTGAATTAGTTCGTTTTGCTCATTTGGTAAGCTTACTAATGTGTCTCTTAATGATACTATTTGATTCTGTATATACTCTTTTTCTTCTCGTAATAAATTAAAGTCTTCTTTTTTGAACTGCAGTCTAATTGGCATACAAAAACGAGAAGACAAAGGTTTTTGATTTCTCCAAATTGAACTAGACGGTTTGCCAGAACATTAATGTATTCTCAAAAGAAAGATCAAGTGGAACAAATGTTGTTGCAAATATGTGCTTATCAGAGCTGCTATCGTCCAAATAAAATTGCTGTTTGTACATACTTTGTCCAGATGCACCGTCAAAGCCCCATTTCCCGCTTAGAATTAATGTTTTACCAATTATTTCAACCAAGTTTTTAACTTTAGATTGCACTTGATCTAACTGCAGTGATCGACAACTTGTATGATTCAGCAGATCTTGCAATGGTACCTCGCATTTTGACTCGGTAACAGTTATATTCTTAGGATAGCATAGTTGTATAGCTTGTAGTACTTTGCGATAGCTTGGATAAAGTACAGCATTATTCTTCTTGGCATTGTTTCTAAGCTTTTGATAAGCATTTCTAGTCAAATTTGTCGAGATCATCAATGCAATAGAATCCTAAGGAGTCAATGATGATTTAAAATTAGGCTTAAAGTCGCATTTTAAGAACTCTGCAATACTTGTTGCACTTGATGGTTTTTCTTTTAAATGCATTAGAACGTATGCCAAATCAGGTTTTTGCATTGCTTTAGCAGCAGCCAATGCAGCAAATAAGAGCTTTTCAATAGAATTAGTTTTTGATAAGCTATATGAAGCTCGCCTTTTAGTACGTGTTTGTGCTTTCTCATTCCAGCATTTGTACTTTGGACCTTTATAAAAAAAATTTATCAAAAATATACTTACAAACATTGTTATAAAAATATGCTTATAAATAAATTACATTTACAAATTTTTTTTTTTTTTTTTTTTAGATTATTCACCTCCCCAAGGCCCAAGGGGACCACTACAGTCCAGGAGGCTACTTAATTTTTTTTTTTTTTTTCCAATTTTTGTTGTAAATTGTGGTACAACCCTCTCTCAACTCTTTAACTCCGAAACACGAACCTTGACAAGCAAGGCCGCTGCGTGGAGAAATTAAGTTGAGCGCAGTACTTCCAGAGACATGGTGGGAGTTGAACTCCCACCATCTCCCTGATACTACTATAAATACTACTTCTAAACATAAAATTAATTGTTTAAAAATAAAAAACCTCTTTTTTTTTTTGTTTGAGTCATCGAGAGATCTCGAAATACTGATAGATGAAGAAGGATAAAAAGCATTGTTTCTTGCAGCAATCGATTTGTTGACTAAAAAACCCTTGAGCCAATTGAACTCGCACTTTAAAAATCGGGATTTGGAACGTTTGTATTTGATAATTTTGAATTTGCATTGGTTAATGAAAGTAAAAAGATGCATTTTGAAAATTTGTTTTTCTTTTATATTATTATCATAACAAGACTTTTGTTTTTCTGTTAGTAAAGCCCAGCATTTTTCAGCAATAACACTTTTTGGTAAATTTATGTCATTTTTGATATGTTCAAATATTTATAAGCGAGTCAGTTTTACTAACATTTTTAATAACCAAATAATATAAAAAAAGTTCAGTTTATTAAAGTAAAAGTTATAAAAAGTTATTATTTGTATCTTTTTTGTAGTGGTTTTAGGGGAAGTGTGCGATACAAATGCGTATATCTAAATAAAATTAAAAACTTTTTCAATTGAAATAAAAGCAATTCAAAAAACCACAAAATGCGTCAACATTTCTCGACTTTAAGGTAGATAAAAATTATTAAAAAATGTCTTTTTACCAAAACAAAAACAAAATTTCTAACAAAAAAGTAAATTCAACCACACAAAGTGAATTGGTTATTGGCATTTATTAAATTTTCGCATATATATATATTTTTATATACTTTGAAAATGTAAGAGCAAAAAAGGTTAAATGTTAGCAGCTAAAAATTAATCATAATGCATGAATATATGCAGCTGAATTTTTTAACGAGATATAACCGTAACCTGAACTTAATAAAGGTTGTATTAGATTAGCTTGAATAGGATGTCTTTTGAACAAACAACAAATTAAAAATTACAAAATGTTGCATTTTTTAGCATTTTTTAGAGTAATTTTTAAAAGTTTTTTTTTAATTTAATGAGGTAAAACTTTTTTGACGTAGAATTTAAGATATCTTAAAAATTCTGACAAAAAAAACAAACAAAAAAAATTTATTAATAAATAAAAAAAATTGCGTTGAAAATGTTTGTATCTTTTTAATGGAAATTTATTACAAAAATGGTGTCTTTATAATCCATTTAGCGGTTCTGTTAATGAACCAAAATAATAAAACTATATATTTTCAGATAATATAAGCAACATAATTCATTAAAAAAAAAAATCATTTTATAAAGTTTCGAAAAATTTTGAATTATGGCCATTTTTTTGAGGTTCTGCACCACTGTGCAAAGAAGTGAAATTTATCACACTGATAACAAACGGTGTTAACTGTTGCTTGTACTAGAATTTAATATGTAATTATGATAAAATTACCAATGCAATAGTTCTTTACTAAAATTAGTGTTGTGGGTAAACATTTGAGTTCGGTAACAATAAGACCTGCTGGTATATATCGTTAAACAAAATCCCATTAAAGGCTGTTAATTGTGCGAGTGAAGCAGGAAGTGATTTTTCTTGTTGTTCTAGTATTGTATTTTTTTGTTGATATTTCATCTGGTGTGTTTTTTGTTGATGTTTCATCTGGTGTGTTTTTTGTTGATGTTTTATCTTGTGTGTTTTTTGAATTAGTATTTGGTTTAAGTTTAATTTTATAGGTGCAAAGTAAGTGGAAGCTATGTATGGAAGCTGTTTGTTTAACTCCTTTCATTTTTTTAAAAGATTTTTTCAATCAGTATACTTTAACATTGCTAGATTTTTTTATTTTTTTTCTCCTAAGAAATGTTTTTAAACAGTATAATTATTTTTTTTTAATATATTTTATATTAGAAGCCAGTTAAGTCAAGACATTTTTTTTTTTTAAACAAAAAATTTTAAATTTAAACAACCTCACAATTTTAATTTAATTAAAACTAGCGCTATAAAATAGTAGTAGTTTCTATTTAAAACCTATTTGTAATCTTAATTTGAAATAAAAGTTTTAAGAAACTAGAATTAATGTGACTGAGTGTATATATTCAAACACTCAGTGTGTGCATGTATATATAAATAGAGCCCTTGGAATTACGGTCAGTATTCAGCAATGCCGACCTAGATAGCGATTTGCAAAATCTGAAAAAATATCTGGTCTTCAAAATTTTAGTTTAGGCAAAACCGTATAGTTTGTTTTTATGGAGCAAATTAGCTTAAATTTGTTAGCAAATAAACAAAACAAAACAATTAACTTACTACTACAAAAGTAATAACACTCTAGTGTCAAACTGCATTACAAAAGAAATAATGCTATAATAGTGTTAAGACTTTTATAACGCACTTACAAATTTTATAATTTATTCTTTGTTTAAACAACATACGTAATCCCAAATATTATTGAAGTAGAAAAGCATCTAGAAAAAATATAGTGGAAATTCAAATAATACTAAAAACTTCAGGAACAAAAATGTGCTTTATAAGAAATATTACGCATTTCTAAAATGTTACTAATGGTTTGTAGAAATGACCATTAATTTTAAAATCAACCAATAAAAATTTTTAATTGGTTGATTTTAAAATTTACACAGGTTTTTACGAACCATTAGTAACATTTTTTGAAATGGTAAACTTTTTATAAAGTATAAATTATCTTAAGTTTCTAAAGTTTTTAATATTATTTGAGTATCTACTCTATTTTTTGTAGATGCTTTTCTACTTCAATTAAAATTTGTGATTACTTAGGTTGTTTGAACAAAAAATACATCATAAAAGTTTATTGTTTTGTTTTTTACAACTTTTTTACTAACAAAATTAAGTTAATTTGCCCTTAAAAAACAAAGTACGCAGTTTCACGTAAACTAAAATGTTGAAGACCAGATATCGCAAACTGCTATCGCCTAATTCAACCCTTGTGTATGTGTATATATATATATATATATATATATATATATATATATATATATATATATATATATATATATATATATATATTAAAATAAAAAAATAATACTAAGATTTCAGTGTTAGAAACGTCCAACATTTCTGTGTTGTCTTACAGCCAAAACTATTAAATTGCAAGTGAAGTTTTTTTAAGTTACAGCAAAAAAACACAAATATAACTTAAATTTTAAAAATGTTGTTGCAATTTAAACATTAAAAAGCAACAATTGCAAAAGTTTCAAATTTGAAAATTTGATTGCTAACACTAAAAAAATGTTAAAGAATTTAAAAAATGAAAATAGTCACATCTCAAATGAAGAAATTAAAATCTAAAAATGTTCAAACAAATACAATAAAGTATATATAAATATATATATATATATATATATTTATATATATATATATATATATATATATATATATATATATATATATGTATATATTTAAGATATTTAGAAGTATTTTTTCATTTAAGGTTTAAAAAGTCAGGATTAAATGGTCAATCCCGGGATTTTTAAATAACTGTAGGATCTCAGGATTTTGTGTATACTGGGATTCCCAACCCAAAATTTAATCTTGGATAAATGATTTTGATACTTTTAGAATTGCTTTTATGTTATTTAACTCAGCTTTTAACAAACTAGTATTTGTGACTGTTGTAAACATTCGAAAGAAACTATTGGTTCTCATGCCTAAAGAATTTATTATAATTTTCTAGTTAGGAAAGGAACAGTAGACTGATGCTGTTTAAAAAACTTAATTGTTTCATTACTAGGACATTAATAGCATCCATTACTTAATGAAGCATACTTAAAGTTAAAAAGTTTTTTTTTTAATATGAGGGACATAACAACAGTAAAATAAAGTTATTTACCAACCCATTAAAAAGAGTATGAAATACAATATTTACACTTTAAATTTATTTAATTTTTATAATTATCATCTAGGCACCTAAAATTGACTTTGTAAATGATTATTATAATTTTTATCTAGGTTAACGACTATCTTGAGGTAATAAAAGAACCAATGGATTTGTCCACAGTGATGACTCGTATCAATTCACACTACTACGAATCTTGTGCACATTATCTAAAAGATATTGATTTGATTATGAGCAATTGTTTAGAGTACAATCCTGACAAAGATCAGTTTGATAAGTTAATGCGAAACCGTGCATGTGAAATGAAAGATTATGCCTATGAACTCATATATGATGATTTAGATCCAGAGTTCGAGAAGGTGATTATTATTTTTAAATTGAAATCATATCTCAGTAACCTAAAAAAATCTCCTAAAATATTTTCTAATTACATGATTACAAAAAAAAAATGTTATTTTTATAGACTTTAAAAAGTGAGGATATAGTTATAAGTCAGTCGTAAACAAGACTGATGCATTTTAAGTTCAATCGCCATCAACTTACTTTTGAAATAGTGGTGATATGGATTTGAAAAACTTATCCATGTCACTGCTTATATCTGGTTGTGATTTGTAAAATATTTTGTTAAAAGATAATTGTTGAGATTTGATGGTTTCTACTTCTTTATTAAAGTCAAGACTGCATTAGTTTTAACAGCAAAACTCAAAATTTAAAGTCAGCATATAGCAATGCTGATCTAATTGCTGAGCTGTTTGAGGTCAGCGATTTTTGCTAACCTCATACCTTTTAAAATTTAAGTTTATTTCCTATTTCAAATGAATTAAAAATTAAAAAACAAATTTTAAATAAAAATGAGCGTTTTATTTTTCTTATTTTAAATTCTGAATAAAATCATTAAAAAAATAGCAAAAGCAAAGAACTATTTAAATTTTAAAAATATTTAAAATAAAGGCAGAAAAACACGCGTTTATTATTACTTTTTTAAATAAAATAAAAAAAGCATTTGTTTTATTTAAATTCAATGTTAAATCATATTTTTTAAAATGTAATAGTTTATTCAAATTAAAAAAAAAAAGCGAAAAAACAAACATTTTAGTTAAGTTCTATATTAAATAGTGCAAAAAAATAAAAAATAAAAAAAAAAACTAAAATTTTATTAAAATCCTAATAAAATAGTGAAACTAAAAATGACAGTATAAATGTTCTATTTTAATTGTAAACAAAACAGTTAAAATGAAAATGCTATAAAAAACATTTGTAACAATATCTTGTTATGAGATTAAATCGCGTAACAAAAACCCGTAACACTAATAAATGTAATTTTTAACACATCTTTGATATTTATATTGTTAAATTAAATCATTTGCATATTTTAAATTACGGCTTTGTAATTAAATTCAATTATAAATTGCATTAAAAATTATTTATAGTAATATAACTAAAATTACTGATAAAATCTTATTTTGGTATTTAAAAAATATTATATTTTCTTATAATTTATTTCTTAAAATAACCTTACAATTAACATGGTTTTTGTTTTTTGTTTTTCATGTTTTTTTATGACTTATTTATATTAATATTATAATTATTTTATATTATTTTATTATGTATTCAATGAAATATTTTTAATAAAGATTGTAAACAATTTGTAAAAAGAATTTATAAGTTACCAATAAGATATTTCTAAACAATTTTTATGTCCATAAATATATTTCATCAAAAGAACTTACATGGTATTGAATTAATAAGAAACAAAAAAAATTTAAAATCTATTTATGAAATAAGTTCTCTTAAACAAAAATTCTTCTCTTTTAATATAAAAAAAAAGTTTTTTCATTTGCTTTCACATAATTTAATCTATGGTGAAAAGACATGTTTTATGCAATGAATTAGTTAGCAGATGGTAAGAGAAAGATTTCTCCTTTAATTAATTTTGAAAAGCTATTTTACATTGCTTTAGTTTAGTTAACAAAAATTAATAATTGAAAAAAACTCACAGATGCAGTTAAATGCTCTTTCTTATGACTTAATATTTTCTGAATGAATGTTACAGAAACGGTATATATGTGTGTGTGTGTGTGTATATATATATATATATATATATATATATATATATATATATATATATATATATATATATATATATATATATATATATATATATATAGTATATATATATATATATATATATATATATATATATATATATATATATATATATATATATATATATTAAATTATATGAATCAGGAAAACAAGGGAGAATGGATGTAGATGGCACAAAAGGCATAAGCTCTTTAGAGCAAGCCCATTAAAGTATTTATAGAAAAAAGAAAGAGAACCAACTTTATGATGATGTGACAATGGTTAGAGGTTGGCTGTAAAAGGTCCAACTATATTCGCTATACGTTTTTGCGCCTAAAAGAGAAAAGGAATCATTCGAAGATATGACTTGATATGGCAACAGTATTCAATACAGATTTATAGATATAAAGAATAGAATCTTAAGTAAGAAAGTGGCGAGCACAATGAAGAGATACAACCTTAGCAGATGCAACCTTAGCAAACGCTTGTATATATGGTTTCCGTGAGAGGTCAGTAGTGAATGATAATCCAAGAAGACATAATGAAGAGGACTCAGTGAGTGGGTTGCCATTCATCAATATATGAATGTTGACAGTATTGCAATAATTATTTGCAGTAAATATCTAGGTTTTGTTGGAGTTTGGTTTTCTATTGAAAATTCACAAGCTGCTGCAAGCTTTAATCTGTTACAGAAGTCAGATCAGATTCAAGATGGTTGCCTATTCTAAGCGATCAGAAAGAAAAGATTTTTTGTCAAGTTGGGAGTATAAAATTGAGTCATCAACAGAGTCATTTTAGATGTAAGGTTGTCAGGATAAACATTATTAATATATATAAAAAACATAGTGGGACCAAGGATAGAACCTTGAGGTACCCCAGAAGTTACTGGAAATGAAGAAAAGTGTTGGCCTTTGAGGATGACTTTAATAAAGAAGTTAGAAAGAAATGATTTATTAATCTCAAAAACTTTCCAAATACACCATATGAAGTAAAGTTATAAAGATAAACAGCTTGCTAAACTTTATTAAAAGCTTTAGGTATGTCAAGAGCAATCTCACTAGCCTCGTCCCCTCCATCTAATGCATAATAAAATCTTTCCTTCACAGCAGTCAGCCATAAGCTGAGAAGATCATTAACTGTATTATTTGTCTAACAGTAAGTTATTTGACTCAAGATATGAGGTAAAAATTTCAAAGACTAAAAAACCTTTATAATAATAGATATAAGATAAAACTATCGTCAGTAGTTGGAAAAGTCAGTATGTTCTCCAATGTTTTTAAAAATTGGAATCACAGGTCCCATTTTCCTGCAGGCAGGAAAACAAGATTTAGTCAACCACTTATTAAATAGTTTAGTAAGAATTGAAGAGAGTTCTTGTAAATACTTTTGTAAGACTATGACTGAAATTTTAAAAATTAAAAATGAAGATTAAAGCAATCTTCATTTTTAAAAAATTAAAAATGAAGATTGTTTTAATCTTCATTTTTAATTTTTAAACTATGTATTTAGTTTTTCATACTTCTAAATAAACTCTAGTTTGTAAATTTTGTATTTAATGTGTTTGTTAGTTAATGGTTTTTATTTTTCTTTTTTTCTTTTTTTTTTTTTTGTTTTGATTATGTAATGTGTTTGATAACTATTTTTGAATAAATATGTAATTTCAATGTGTTTTTCATTATAAACTTCTTGCTATAAATGTTTGCCATGTTTATTTACATTTTGTACCTTATAATTTATTTACATTTTGTACCTTATATTTAACATTTTTACACAAATATCTTATTTTATATTTTAAGGAATTTTTGCAAAAAGGGGAGAAAGTTCTTCATTTCTCAATAAGTTAAAGTCTTTGAGAAATAGTTAAGACTAGTAATGTCCACTTTTTGTTCCATTGTCCTGTGTCATTGTGCTGTGTCATTGTGCTGTTTTGTCAAAAACAGCACAATGTACAATTTTTAATGTTTTAAATGTCAGTATAGTTATTTAACAGTATAAATAATATATAATACATTTTATAAATAATGTTAAAATCAAAGTAAAAATGCTAAGATATTGAAAAAAATTTTAAGTTTGAAAAACTAATTTTTTAAAAAGATTTAAAACTTAAAATTTAAAGTTAAACATCTGTTATTTTAAATAAAAGAAGTTTTCAAAATTACTAAACTTAAGTAATATAATGTTGATTTAACTTTTCAAGTAGATAGCTAGCTAATATATAAGTATTTTTTAAAGATTTTTTTTTTCTTTAGTTATGTCTTGAAATCAGTGAATCAAGAAAAAAGAGAGGTATAAAAATAATAGAAGGGGTTCATGTTACGTAATATTATTAAATAATAGTAGAGTGTATATAAAAGGTATCCTGAAAAGTAAATATTCTATATATATATATATGTATATATATATATATATATATATATATATATATATATATATATATATATATATATATATATATATACACACACACACACTCATTTGAATGATGCCAATATAAATTTTGATTTTTTTGATTTATTTTGTTTAATTTTTGTGTTTGGTTACAAGTATTTTGGTTAAAAATGGGTATTAGAAGTTAAAGTGAGCAAGCTGTATTAGTGCTGTGTGTGTGTGTGTGTGTATATGTATATATATATATATATATATATATATATATATATATATATATATATATATATATATATATATATATATATATATATATATATATATATATATATATATATATATATATATATATATATATATATATATGTGTGTGTGTGTGTGTGTGTGTGTGTGTGTGTGTGTGTGTGTGTGTGTGTGTGTGTGTGTTTGTGTTTGTGTTTGTGTGTGTGTACTTGTAGTTTTATTTTATATAGTTTCATTGTTAATACTAGGTTTTGTACCCAATGGTCCTGCTTTTATGAAAGTAATGCCGCAATATAAAAGATCAAACAATATTAACAACCAGTCTTTATTAGAAACAGTTAATACACCTGATAAGAACTTTATTCCTGACCCTACTGGATCCAGGTTTAGTCATCGTGTTCGAGGATTGAACGATACAATAAATGTTGATTTAAATACACTTAATGTCATAGAAGGAAGAAAAAGGAAGCTACATCCAAAAAGATCTTTTGATAAAGAATCAGAAACTGAAGCTAAACAATTAAAGTCTTCAGTAAATGGCGAAATAAAAGATTCAACTAAAGTGCTTGATTCAATCAGAAATAATGATAAATGTTTACCTCAATTATCTGGTGCGCTTTTTGGCTCTTTTAATTTAAATTTAAAATTAATTTAATCAAGTCCAAATAAGTAAAATTAAAAATTCCCGAAAAATATTTTCAAACTTTAAAATTTTTTTTATAGAATTAAAGCAGGATTCCATTTTATTACTAACGCAGCTTGTTGATGGTACAAAATATTGGAATATTGACCAACTAGAAGAACTTTTTGCACGGCTTAAGCGTTGCATAGTTAAACACAAAAAAGAAGAAGACAGAGATCTGGTTATCAAGGTAGACTTTTATTTTTATTTTGATTTTGCAATTTTTTTTAGAACAAATATTTTATTTATATAATAGCTTTATGAAAATATTTTTATTACAAGCATGAAAGTAACAAATTTTGGTGTAACATGATATAGCTGCAAAAGATAAATAAATAAAATAGAAAAAAGATAAATTAAGAGCTTTTAAACCTGTTAATTTCATGTATTATAAAATGGTATCCTATATGGTATATATTTTTATCTATTCTTATCTTTATCAATAATTTCATAATGCAGATTTTAGTAAATTTTTTTAATGAATAAAAGCCGATTGCTTAAAATATAATCACTAATTATTGATAAAAGCACTAATTACTTTTGATAAAAGCACTATCTAATTATCTATTATTCACTAATTATTGATAAAAGCTGATTCTAATTATTTAATCTCAATAACTTGCAAGGGGGGGGGGGATATTATATTAATCTATAATAAGGAAAGTCCTTATATCCCATAAACATTTAGATTGAAAGCATTTCTTAATATAAATTTTATTTATAAAAGTTTTTATTAAACAATCAATAAAATTTTGTAAAGATTGTCAAGTTTTTTTGTATAAAGATTTTTGCGCAACTTTTCACATATTGTTATTTTGTTTCAAAACTACTTCATTTTGAATTTCTTATTTATTTGGATTGTTAAACAGTGACCAATTTTTAATGTCATTTGTAAATTTATCTTCTTTTTATTCAAAAGTTTAGATTTTTAGTTGAAAATATATTTTTAACTTGACTTTAATTCTCCTAAAAATTCTTCCTAAAAATGTCTGAGTATAATAAACTGTTAAACGTCTTTTTCATATTGTATGATGTATTGTCTGTGTATATTGAAAAATTTAATTTTTGTGTTTTTTTAAAAAATCAATATTCTGTGTATGTTAAAGTAATGAAATTACTATGTATGTTGAAGCAATGAAATGTCTGTGTATTTTTAAATAATGAAGTATCTGTTTATGTTGAAACAATTAAACGTCTGCATATGTTTGAATATTCAAAATATACAGGTATTTCATTCTTTTAAAAACAATGAAATATCTTTGTATGTTGAAACAATGGAAAATATGTTTAATGCTTATTATGATTAAGCTTAACTTTCTAATGATAATGATGTGTATTATCTAATGTCTTTTTCTTTTCTGGACAATTTGCGAAATTGTATTGTAACCATAGTAGGGCCTGCCCTAGCAGCAAGACTTGAACATTGTCACAATTTTCTTTTCTCTATTAGTACAATGGTTACGCAGAGATCTTCATGCTCTTTTTTTCGCAGAGATCTTCATACTCTCAAGTTTTTACCTATTTTTTACCTCGATGTTCAAGGGAAAAAATTGGTAAAAGTATTGCGTTTATAATTGAATAATTTCCAATTTTTTTATATTAATATTATAAAAATATGCAATATTTTATATTGAATATTAAATAATGTTAAAATAGTCTTTTGTTAAACACCATACTGCTTAAACTGTCGTTTTATATATTTAAAGTTAATATTTAATTTGAGAGAGTTTTGATCTAACTCTTAACCTTAATGTTTAAATGTGTAAAATGTTTAAATGAATCCAATAGTTACCTAGAATAGTTACAAAAGGTTTTAAATATTGATCTCGATACTCCATGTGCAATGTTTTTCCAATGATTCTATTACAACAATTTCAATTTTGGTTTGTCTAAAAAATACTCAAACACGACTGAAATGATTTGAATATTTTCATTAATTTATTTATATATTAAGATATTCATTAATTTATTTTGCATTCACACCTTTCCGAAATAAAATATGCGTTCATCCAAAAGTTCTTTCAAACAAACAAAAAAACATTACGTGCGAATATCAACATTATTTTTGTGTCATTCTTAAAAACATTTAAATAATAAATAGCAAAATAAATGACATTTCGTGAATTAATGTTTTATTACCTTGAAAAAGTAATGCTTTTAAAAAGACTCCAATAAATTTTAGCAGGTATTTAAATAAAAATTTCTACAAAATGTTATACTTTTTTTTTACTTGTGTAAATCTATCGATGTGATTAATAAATTATATTTTTACTGGTGTCATAATTTATAATTTTTGATTAATATTTTGCCTCGAAATTAAAATACAGTTTTTTTTAAATAATTTTTGAAATATATATTTATGCTAAATTTTTTTAAATGTAACGAATTTAAATTTTTAAATTTAATCTCTTTCAACGAATGTTATAATCAAATAACACTTTTTATATATAAATATTTTTTTTTTAGAGTCTTAAAGACATCGTGGATAGCATCTATACAATATGAAGAATATTTTACAAATTATTGTTTTTTAATTCGCGTGTTATTATAGTTAAAAATGTACTTAATTTATTCGTACAAATGTTTTTGTTTATAAAATTCTTTTGCTTACATAGCTCGTGTTTTGTTTTTTTGTTGTTTTTTTTAATTCGTTGTTTAATTAAATTATTGAGGTTACATCATTGATGTTAAATACTTCAAACACCGCTACGTTAAAAATCTCTTCAATTGCTTTTGTCTTTTTAACTATTGAACCGATTAAATGCCATAAATAATTTCCATCTAATTGATTTACTTTTTCCTATCTAATAAAAGTTTTGCGAAAAAAGTGCGTCGAATTGCGCTTTGTTAACAAGAAGCCCTTAAATCACTAGTTTAAAAAAATAATGCAAGAATTTTAGTTACCAAGTAAACAATGGATACAGTTAACAAGCAATATTGTCACTTTCATTAAATGTTTTTTTTTTTTTTTTAAATAAGTTTTGTTTCATCGCATCATAGTTTACTTAAAGGTAAAATTTATCAAACTGGATTATTATTAAAGCATTGCATTGAGCTTGATTTGTGGGAAATATTAAAATTTTATTTTATGACGTTTCAACATTTTAAAGGTATGACCCTTCTTTACTCTGAAATTATTTTTTTTAAAGCACTTTATACTCATTTTATTTATGAATTTGGTAACATTTTAAAATAAGTTATAATTATCAAAATTTTCAATTTGTTTTCTGCCTTTTGTTAAAACCATTATCTTTTTAAAAATTGTTGATTTGTTTTGATAAAATTTTTGTCGAAAACATCAATTTATAATCGTCGTAATTCGTTTTAAACGCGAAAGTTTGGAGTGATTATAAAAAGTTTAATTAAAAAAAAAAAAAAAAAAAAAAACAAACACTATTAACATCCGGCAAGAATCTGATTTATAAACGATATTTTTTAACTTTTTAAACTTGGTTACTTAATACAATAATTTTAAAATAATATTTGATATGCAATGAGCAAACTAGGAAAAATCTTTTTTGTTCTGTATTTCCGCCGTATATATTTTTTTCTATTTTGTTTTTGAAGTTAGGAAGACCGCCTGTCAAGTATAGGTTAAATTTTTTGTATAAAATCTAATTAATTTTGTAACTATGAAATATATATTATGCTTTCAAAATATAAGTAGCCTTTAGATGTTGAATAAATATCCTGCTTTTACAGAATGTGGTTGTATAACATTTAATGACGTTTTCTTTTAGGTAATATAAATAAAGTATTACTACTTTAATGGTAATTATTTAAGCAAATGCATTAAATTTTAGATCATTTGTTTAAAGAATCGTCAAAAAAATTTTTACAGTTTAACACTATCATTACAAAGTAATGACAATCAAATTGAACATATTGCATTAAGTTACACATTGCAAAAGTACTTCAAATAGAAAAACTACTGCGTGTGTTGACTTAATGAGTGATTAATGAAAAAAAAAGATAACTGTTAAGCTGTTAACGCATTAAACAAATAAAAAAACTAAAGAAATATTTTTTTTTTTTAATTATGTATCAAGAAAACTAAAATGAAGCAACACACAACGGTCGTGACGCGAATATATCTCGTATTAATATATACATTTTTTTTTTTTTTTTTAATCATTTGTGACAAAAATATGGTCAGACATTATGACAAGCATATCGTTTTTATAAAATGTCACAAAAGTTTTTTTCTCCACACATATGTTACTAAATAAGTCTCATACTTCCAGGGATCCCGTTCGCTTTTTTGGCGTTTGCGATAAAGAGCTTTTAAAAATGGAGAAGATTTCAATTGCAAAAGTTATTTAGTTTTATATTTTCATTATTCTAAACTTAGTTTATATTAATTAAGTGTTTGATTCTACTGTTGTCACTGAGCCATAATGAGTGCATATATGTGAGTGCATATCCATTCTTGAGAAATAAATATATTAACGATTTTGAGGTTTGTATTAAAACATTTTATGAAATACTTTTAAAACAAAATGCTATGTAAAATAGGAAGTTGCCAAAACTGGAACTGCGTCTTATTTAACTTATAACTGCAAAAATTAGAACCTCAAAATTGAAACCTTGAATTTATTATGGAAATATTTAAGAGTAGCTTTTGCGCAGTGGTCCCATAGCGCATATTTTAGAAGCAAGAAATTTGGCGTTGGATGCCGTAGTCGGATCATATTTTCGCGTCATTAGTAAGGAAGCGTGAACTTTCTAGTTAAAAGCTCGTACGTAAAACAACAAAATAAATAAATACTCTTATGGCTATATTTTGCATTTTTCTATTAAAATGTCATATTTTCTACGTTTTAAGAGATTTTAAAAATTATTTCTCAAAAAATGCACGAGCACCATGAATTTAACACTTTTTGTGTCTTCTTTTAAAGTGATCTAACTTCGTTTTCACACAATAATGATTACTGGCGGTAAATTATACTACCGTGGATTACACTGTTTTTCGTGTTAAACGCGATGGAATTTAAAATAATAAAAATAGAAAGCAAGCAATAACATCAACTTTTCTTATACTTATAAAATAAGTTTATATTATTACTTGCTTTTTAAATTCGATTGCTTTAAATGGTTGTTGCAAGCATGATATTGCAGTGATATAATAAAGTTTCCTTGATCGGAACTATAACGTTTTCCTTACTTATTCAGTGATAAAATCAAACGCTTGAAGAAATAAGTCAGGGGTAATTTAAAATAAATAGTTACAATCATAAATCTAAAAATAATACTTTATTTAGTGGTTTTTAATTTATAAAATAAAAGGACGTCATAATAGTTGAAGATTTTAAACAATATATTATTTGTAGATTGTCTATTTGCTCGCAATTTTTATTTTTAAAATGAAAACAATTTTTAACTAATTTGGTTTGAATAAACTGGGTATTTTTAAAAGAAGCTGTTTTAAATAAGAAAATTTAAATAAGATTTTCAATTTAGAAAACTGGTTGCCTTGATTAGAGCAAAATGTCCAAGTTCATTTCCAAATAATGTAAAATCAATTAAGTCAAATTAAGATCAAAAGTATCGTTTTTCTTTCTATATTAATCAAATCATAAGTTTTTTTATAGTTAAGCCATCTTTTGTTAAAAAATATTTTTTTGGTATTCATTTTTCGACAATTCTTTTCAGCCTGATTTTTTATATCTTTTTTTCAAAACAATAAAAAAACAAAGTGTCAATAATTAGTCAATAAAAATTTTTAGGAAAGTTATAAATCATAAAATTTTAAAGACTCTAGTATGAATTATTAAAAGTTCTTTGGTAAAAAAAATTTAATATAGTAATTGTATCGTGTAAAATATTTTTTGCTTTGTAAAATGGATAAATAAATATTTGTTAATAATGCCTTTTGACATTAAAAATGTTTCTTTATATTTTTATCTGAAAAACATAAAATTATTTTCAAGAAAAAAAAACTTTGTGATCGTATGAACTATTAAGTTTGATTTCTTATATTTATTTTTTATTAACGATACTGCAAAGTTTTTTTTAGTGGTTAGAGCGAAGCTAGTTGAGCATAGGTTGAGGCTAGTTGAATATTGGGGCAAAGTCAGCAGCCGTGGCGCAGTGGTCCAGAAATCCATGGTTCGAAGCAAGCTCTGGAGATATTTCGCGCCATTGGTATAGGAAAGAGGCGTGAACTTCCTCATTAAATGCTCTAAGGCGGTGCTCTGTGACAAGACCGTTAGGACTTCTTGGGGACACCTAAAACAAAAAGAACAAAAAAAATTGAGCTATTAAAATACAGGGCCGACGGCACGGGTTTTGAAGCGGAAGGGCGCAATTGTCAATTTAAAAAAAAGTCCTCTATATCTAGAAGGTTCAAAAAAAATTAAAAATGTTCCTTTATAAAAAAGTGGGGGTGCCATTAAAAAAAATTAGGGTTAGACATGAAATTAGTACGTATAAAGAATGATTTGTAATGATTTCTAGTCAAAATGCGAATTTACTTTATCGTAGCAGTGATGCTGTGGTTGGAGTTTTTGGGCAGAATTAAGAGGTCTGAGGTTCAATTTCGGCTCTAGCTAGATAAGCCACATTGGTATAGTAGAAGACGTAAACTTCCTGTTTAAATTGTCTTTCCACGGTGTTATGTGATAAGAGCCTTATTTCTTTTTGGAGCACTGTAATTACTAGAAAAAAGAAAAAGTAGAAAAGAAAAAAGAAAACTTAAAATTATTAGCTTATTCTCTGTAGAAATCGTTTTTTTGTATTTTTATCAACAAATATGATTTTAAGTAGAGTGGATTTTTGCGGCAATGATCTACTTTTATCCCTAAAAAAAATAATCTCATTCTGAAATCGTATTAGCGGAGTATTAGCAAACTGCTAAGCGGTAATGCGAATTAAAGACATTAGTTATACAAAACTGATCATATTTATTGCTTATCAGTTAGTCTAACTATCCAGTCCCTTAAAAGCAATTTTTATTTCATGATAAGATCATTAACCTTATCATGAAATATAAATTTAGGGCAAAAATAAAACAATTGGTGTTATTTTTGCCTTAAATTTGTCCAGCACACCGTGGATAATCACAAACACTGTTGTGTAATAACGAATAAAATCTTAACAGTATTAATTAAGTGCAAAAATTATACTATGCACCAACAACAACAAAACGAGTGGTTTTATATCCATAGTAACTACAACCGGAATGTTACTCAAAAAAAAATTGCGAAACGTCAGCAGAAACAGTTAGGCAAATTATCGTGAACATCAATCGCAGCTTCATTACACTGCTGCACGTCTGGAACTGAGCGGGGAATTCCTCTCAGCAGGTAAAAATAAATTGTCAAATATATTTTTCTTTTGTGCAGTTTTGATCATATTTGGAGTTACCGCGCGTTCGTTACTACCCCACTAACCCCTATTTACAGACAATGGTTGACACAAAAAATTCAAAAAACCTTTGAGTTGTTTTCCCACAAAAACAAATATTACCGACACTTTTTTGCGTTTCTGGAAAACCTAAACTTTGCCAAGCGAGTTTGATAATCTATTTATTTAACCCACAATCAACATAGAAAAGAAGGGTAATGAACTATTTGGTAAAACTTCTGTTATTAACATTTATAAACAAGCTAAAATTTGTAACAACGTTAAACTAAATACATTTAATAAACTAAACTAATAAATAAGCCGACAAAGAAAGTTAAGGAAGAGTTCATGTTAAGTGAACTCTTCAAGTCTTTGTCGGTTTGACTAACAGCACTATTGCACCTTTTAACATCGTGTGCAATTCTGTCCGCTTTCTCTATACTATCTCTCTAACACGACTACTTCTGTCTTTCGCTCTAACATATTTTCGTTCTTCCCAAACTCACCTTACTCTCGGTCTGTAGAGCGGGTTATGACGCTCCCTTATGAGCCAAAACAAGTCTCTGCGGACCTAGGTACAAGGCAATTAGCAGGCGGAGGATAAACTACAAAACCTTAAACTAAACTAATAACTATAAACTTACTATAAACTATGTATATAACATAACTGTAACATATATACATATATATATATATATATATATATATATATATATATATATATATATATATATATATATATATATATATATATATATATATATAT